AACTACTCACATATAATTCTGCCCCATTGTGAGTTCATTACTTAGGCAAAAACTCCTTTCTCAGTTTGTTGACTTTCTTGCTTATTAAAAATATTAAGACATTTAGGAGTCTTAGGAATTAGGAGCTGCAGAATATAGATGTTAGAATATATTCAGAAGTACAGTTGTTGAAATTGCATATAGAACAATGTAATTAGAACATAGAGCACTAGTGAGTTGTTAACACTAATATATAAACTAGGCTCCCTATGTGACACACTTGTGGGTGTAGCATTGTCCAACTATATAACAAATATATCACAAAATCTCCTACTTTGAGTTGGCAGAGAACATAGAGATATAATAGTTATTGTATTATTTTTTAAAATGGCATCCATTGTTTGATTCCTAGGAAATATGTATTAATTTTTGTTTCTCCATCATAAATGCAATATAGGAGAGAGGTCTTTTGATAGGTCAGTGATGGCGAATCTTTTAGAGACCGAGTGCCCAAACTGAAACCCAAAACCCACTTATGTATCGTCGGGTGCTGGGTGGGCGTGGCCCATTGGGTGGGTGTGGCCTATTGGGTAAGTGGCTGCGGTGGTAATGGCAGACTGGGTTGGACTAAAAAGTTCAATCAATCAATTCCAACTTTGTGAGATCTTTTTTTTTTTTTACATGGTGACATGAGAAGTTGAAGTTGAAATTGATTGATTGATTGAACCTTTTTTTTCCCACATGGTGGTGGAGGACTAAGCAAAAAGGTTTTATAAAACCCAGCTGAAGGCCTAGGACTGGGGTGATGGTGCACGTGCCCACAGAGAGGGCTCTGCGTGCCATCTGTGGCATGCGTGGCATAGGTTCGCCACCACAGGGTTAGGTGTTCATGGGAAAACTCCTAAAAGTATTATTGCTTTGAAGTTTAGAATTTAATAAACTAGAGGGAATAATTTTGGGGACAGAATAGTTCGGCAGTTAAAGATGCTGAGCTAGTCAGCTAGAAAACCTGAGCATCTCTCAACAGAGTGAGCTCCTGTTACTTGCCCCAGCTCCCACCCACCTAGCAGTTTGAAAGCATGCCAATGCGAGTAGATAAATAGGTATCACTTCAGTGGGAAGGTAATAGCGTTCTGTGTATCAGCATACAGTCAGTGGCCATGTGACCATGGAAATACCTTCGGATTCCCTTGGCTAAGAAACAGGGATGAGCACTGCCTCCTAAAGGTAGAAACAATGGATAGGGGAAACTTTTACCTATAGGAAATAAAGGAAAGGAATAGGTAACAACAGAAATATAAAATTCAGCTAGACCTAAATGTAGTTGGAAATATTTCTGGCAAATGAGCAGGGCAAGCGAAGAATATAAAACCAAAAAATAATACTGGGTGAGGTCTTACTTGAGGAATGGTCTCACAAGAGAAATATAGTTGATATCTATGCATCAACTTTTGACAAAAGTTCAAGAAATTTCTTTCACACTGGCTGATGACATTTATCTTCTCCAAATACTTTATTTTTTTCTAAATTTTAAAGCACACAAATTTGCTATTATTAATATACATTGTTTGTTGTTGTTAATTGCGAAGTTGTGTTCGACCTATTGCGACCCCATAGACAACATTCCTCCAGGTCTTCCTGTCCTCTACCATCTTCTGGAGTCCATTTAAGCTCACGCCTATTGCTTCAGTGACTCCATCCAGCCACCTCATTCTCTGTTGTCCCCTTCTTCTATTGCCCTCAATCTTTCCCATACATTATTATATTTACTTTTAAAAAAATAATTACTTTGCAGCTGCACCAAATGGCTCCAATTACTGGTCAAGTAGTAAGTTCTTCTTTAATTAGAACTTTACTCCTTCAATGTTGTTTTCAGAAGAACAATATGAAACAGTGTTTGATTGCCTTTTTGAACTATGTACCTCTCACTTCCCTCCCTAGTTTATATCCACAGCTTTCCCATTTTGATCTCCCATCTAGGTATTAACCCAAGATCTAAATAACCCAATTTGGCATTTTGAGGTCTGCCAAGATTGGCTAGGTGTGATGGGATAGAAATATAATAAATCTTCATAAGTAATAAATGTAAATAGACAAGAAATGGCATGATCTGTCATAATCTGAATATATGAAAGTACTATTAGAATGAGATTTGTACTTATTTAATGTTCTTTTTTTTTAAAAAAAAATGGTCAGGCTCAAAGTCAAAGAGATTTTACAAAGCTTTAAATATTACCAAGGACAATTCATTAAAAAAACAAAACCATTAAAAAGTAACCACTTATTAAGCAGTTATTAAAAAAAAGAACAATTTGTCAAAAGCATAGTGAAATAGAAAGTTTCAACTTGGGTGGAGAACTTGAATGGAGAACTAATGAAAAGAAGGACTAGGAGTGACATGACAGCAATGTTCCAATATCTAAGGGGCTGCCACAGACAAGAGGGAGTCAGGCTATTCCCCAAAGCACCTGAAGGCAGGACAAGAAGCAATGGATGGAAACTAATCAAGGAGAGAAGCAACCTAGAACTAAGGAGAAATTTCCTGACAGTTAGAATCAGTGGAATGACATGCCTCCAGAGGTTGTGGATGCTGTAACACTGGAAGTTTTTAAGAAGAGATAGGACAACCATTTGTCTTTTTAAAAAGACATTTCAGAGTTAAAGATTGCATCAGATAGATTGCATGAATTGTTAGATGTTTGAATGTGACATACAGAAGAAGACACTTACTGGAATCCTCCACCATTGGAGCTGCAGAGGTAGGCAACCTAATGCTTTCCTGGTGTTTTGGGCCCCAAGTCATAGAAATTGTCCAAAACTCGGGAAGGGATCAGTTCCATATACATCTTGTAAGGCTTTTAAGATCAGAACTGTTATCTGGTATTGGCATAAGATATTAATTGGTAGCACAGATTTTTCAAAATGGGTGGGCCATGAGCGTGCCAGCTCTAAATTGTTAATAGTATTTACACAGATTTTTGCACAGAAATTCTGGGATAATTTCTGAGAATTGCAGTGATCCTTACAACTTTGTACCTATCCAGTTCAAAGATTATGCTGCTAATCTTTTGCACATACCATGAGAAGACTTGTTCTTACTCGCTAAGTAAACTTTAACATTCACACAAGCAAATTAGCCCCAAATACATTTAGTTCCATTTTCTTCTGTCTTGAGCCATATCCAACTGAAGTCAGCATTTGGCTTATATTTAAGATGGATCAACTGAAAATGACTAAAACATAGATGGAACAGGCTGAGTGAAAGAGCAAGTAAAAACATTTCTTTTTATTGTTAATTAATTACTCTTGTTTTGGAGACTTAAAATTCTGTGTTGCATTTGTACTTGTTGAGGCTACATGTTTTTAATTTGCTTAATAAAAATCTAGGTAAATAGTGTATCTCATGGCTACCTGGATATTGGTTTTTTCTCTTGTGTATCCATTTGACAATTTGTAAAGTGTCATGCTGTTGACTGGATGCAAATACTTCATTTTCTAGGAAAAGTAGCTTTTACTAATTAAGTTTAAGCTGTAACATAAATAAATAGGTGATATCTTATGAACAAATAATTCATTTTGTTTTCTGAGGAAGAATGTTTATGGAACCAGAATATCCATATAGAAGAAGGTAAATATTGGCAGGCTTCAGGAAGACGAAAACTGTCCAAAATTCACAGAAACACAACAGAATTTATTTTTTTTAAAAAAATCATAGGGTGTAGAATGTTTTTGGAAGCACAAAATACGAGGAGGGGCGGGGGGGAGGGGTGGAAGGAAGAAGCAATAATATAAAAAAGCATGTGTTCAGCAAAGCATGGCAAGATCAACTAGAAACTGATCACGCCACACTGCACTCTTAAGAATTAAGAGACTGGATAGTCACTTATCTGGAATGGTATAAGTCTCTTGCTTGAGCAGAGGGTTGGACTAGAAAACCTTCAAGGTTCCTTCCAACTCTGTTAATCTGTTATTCTGCTGTTCGGTTTTGTGGCAGATTTTATTTGTGTGTGGTATTTTTGAATGTGCAGAAAAAAATGCTTTCTGCAGCAGTTCCAAATTGGTTTTTTTTTGTGTGTCATGAGCATATTTAGCATACTAAGAGAAAATTGTAAAATCCTATATCCCCTTTTCACTGATATCCCATTCATCCCAATATTGTCGAATGACATATTTCCAGAGTGGCAGAGTATGCCTTCCCACAGCCGGGTAGTAAAAAGCTTAGTGCAGTGGTGGAAAACCTATGGCACAGGTGTCAGAGGCGGCACTCAGAGCCCTCTCTGTGGGCACGCGCGCCATCGCCCCAGTCCCAGGCCTTCAGCTGGGTTTTATAAAAACTTTTCGCTTTAGGCCTCCGCTGCCATGTGCAAAAAAAAAAAAAAAAGGTTCAATCAATTCCACCCAGTCTGCTGTTAGCACCGCAGCCAGTGGGCCATATGCCCCCAATGGGCCACACCCAGCCAATGGGCCACACCCACCCGGCACCTGACGATGCATAAGTGGGTTTTGGGTTGCAGTTGGGCACTCAATCTCTAAAAGGTTCGCCATCACTGGCTTAGTGACTATCACTGCTAGTGTCATCCTTCATAATTGTAAGTTGCTCATTTGGAACACAATACATGTGGCCCTGAATTTACAACCATTCATTTAGTGATTATTCAAAGATACAATACCACTGAAAAGTCATTTACAACCAGGTCTCACACTTAAGACCCTTGCAGTATTGCAGTGATCACCATTTGCAATCTACCAAGCCAGTTTCCAAAGAGCAAAGTCAACGGGGGAAGCAGGATTCACTTAATGACCATGTGATTCATTTAACAACCTCAGTGATTCTCTTTAGCAACTGTGACAATAAAAGGCACGACTTGCTTAAAAACTTCTTTCTTAGCAACAGAAATTCTGGTTTCAGTTGTGGCCATATGTTGAAGGACTGCCTATATTACTTTAAATGCAAACAAAATTCAATCGAAGCTTATTGCATATTATTTCTAAAAGGTTTCTTTCTTTTTTTTTAATTTTAGCCATGAAGATTTTGAATTCATTTCAGGAACTCGCATGCGCAAACTGGCTCGAGAAGGTCAAAATCCTCCTGAAGGTTTCATGGCTCCTAAAGCATGGACTGTGCTGACAGAGTATTACCAAACCTTGGAAAAAGTTTAAGCTGCTCTTATTAATTACAGATCAACTTTGACACTTGATTTATTAACAAGACAGGGGACCACCCAGTTATGCTGCTTTGTTGCAGCTTCCGTCAGAAAACTTTTCCTAAATATCTTCCTTAGGAACCATTCTCTGCTTTTCTTACGTGTTTTATTACATATTGCTAACAAACTGTTTTTTTAATGTCCTCTTTTATTTACGTTCTTTTTATTACAGTAGGATTTTTTAAAAAAATCCTTCATTTTAATATTCTATTTACTCTTCTTTATTTGAGCTCTCTTTTTGGGGATGCTAAAACTTAACTTTTTTCCTTTCACTTTCTGTAATGGAATTCCAACACTGTGGTTTATAATTTAAGGAATAGTTATTTCAGTCTGATTACATGAGCTAGAAGCAGGTGCTGAATTTGATCACCATAAAGTAGAATTTAATGTACTACACTTGTATCTTTTGGTCTGGACTTTGACGTTCGTCTATCGAATCTCCAAAGTAGCTTTGGATTGGAAATTACATGTTGTTTGATAAATGTGTGATTTTTGTTTTTGCCTAGTTTTTTCTTGATCATGTAAAAATTGTGGGAAATACAACAGGGCAGTCTGATTATATGGATCAATATTAATTTTGTTTCCTATGTTTCTGGTGATTGTAACACTATTACTGTCTTTTAAGCTTTTGATTTAATCTTTTCTGCTCAATATAGTGCTTTTTAAAAAGTATTTTGGTTGGCATGATTATTCTTTAAGCTTCAGTCTCATTTAGCGCAGTGGGTTGGCTCCTAATTAAACACAAATGATTACCCTTCTGGAGAAGGGAAAGTTTGGGTAAAAAGATATTTGTCTGCTTCAAAAATGCCTCCCTTGATCTTTTGACATTTTGATATTTGGGGGCTGCAAGTTAACTGATTAACATAGAACACCCTTGTTATTATAACGCAAGTTAAGATAGGCAAGAAAATGGTATGTGAACACCTATCCAGCCTAGACGAGTTCAAATCACCAGGACCAGATGGATTACACCCCAGGGTTCTCAAGGAACTGGCAGATGTGATCTCAGAACCATTGAACTATATTTTTCAAAGATCCTGGAGCACTGGAGAACTACCGGAGGACTGGAAAAGAGCTGATGTAGTTCCCATCTTCAAAAAAGGAAAAAAAAAATGGACCCAGGAAATTACAGACTTATCAGCCTGACCTTAATACCTGGGAAGATTCTGGAAAAGATAAACAACGAATCAGTGAACACCTAGGGGCAAACAAAGTCATTAGTAAAAGCCAACATGGGTTTGTCAAAAACAGATCATGCCAGACAAATCTTATCACATTCTTTGACCAAGTGACAAAATTAGTGGATCAGAGGACAGCATCACCACCAGATGGATCCGTAGCTGGCTGACGGCTGTACTCAGCGTGTGGTCCTCAATGGAACTGCATCTACCTGGAGGGAAGTGTGTAGTGGGTGCCCCAGGGCTCTGTTCTGGGCCCAGTGCTCTTCAACATCTTCATCAATGATTTGGACGAGGGGATAGATGGGGAAATCATCAAATTTGCAGACAACACCAAGCTGGCAGGAATAGCCAGCACTCCAGAAGACAGGCTTAGGATACAGGAGGATCTGGACAAACCTGAACACTGGGCGCTATCTAGCAAAATGAAATTCAGTGGTGAAAAAAGTAAGGTTGTACATTTAGGTAAGAAAAACCAAATGTACAGGTATAGTATAGGGGGTACCTTGCTCACTAGTAGTAACTGTGAGAGGGATTTTGGAGTCCTAGTGGACTATCACTTAAATATGACCCAGCAGTGTACTGCAGCTGCCAAAAAGACCAGCATAGTGCTGGGCTGCATTAATAGACGGATAGAATCAAGATCACGTGAAGTATCAATACCACTTTACAATGCCTTGGTAAGGCCACACTTGGAATACTGCATCCAGTTTTGATCACCATGATGTAAAAAAGAAGTTGAGACTCTAGAACAGCGGTTCTCAACCTATGGGTCACGACCCCATTTGGGGTTGAACGACCATTTTACGGGGGTCGTCAAACAACGCGATCCACCATTTTTCCCCCTCGGGGCGCCGCTGTGCATGCGCGCCACGCATGGGGGCGCTGCTGCGCATGCGCAGTGCGTCCGTGTGACGGGGGTCGCTGTCACACAAAGGTTGAGAACCGCTGCTCTAGAAAGAGTACAGAGAAGAGCAACAAAGATGATTAGGGGACTGGAGGCTAAAGCATACAAGGAAAGGCTGCTGGAATTGGGTATGTTTAGTTTATTGAAGAGAAGGACGAGGGGGGACATGATAGCAGTGTTCCAATATCTCAGGGGCTGCCACAAAGAAGAGGGAGTCAAGCTATTTTCCAAAGCGCCTGAAGGCAAGACAAGAAGCAACGGATGGAAACTAATCAAGAGAAGCAACCTAGAACTAAGGAGAAGCTTCCTGACAGTTAGAACAATTAACCAGTGGAACAACCTGCCTCCATAACTGGTAAATGCTCCAACACTGGAAGTTTTTAAGAAGAGACTGGACAGCCATTTGTCTGAAATGATATAGGATTTCCTGCCTGAGCAATGGGTTGGACTAGATCAGGGGTAGGCAACCCAAAACACTCAAAGAGCCACTTGGACCCGTTTCCCACCAAAAACAAAACACTGGGAGCCGCAAAACCCTTTTGATATCTAAAATGAAGATAACACTGCATATATCCTTTTTTACCTTTATTATAGGTGTGTGTATGTGTATGTGTGTGTGTGTGTGTATGTGTATATGTGTATACACACACACACACACACACACACACACACACACACACACATATACACATTAAAAATAAAAGTAAAAATATGACTCTTGGGAATATCCATACTATTAAAACAACGATCACCAAGAGAATACTTTAAGAGAATAAAATTACATACACACACAGGTAAAAAAAGGATATATGCAGTGTTATCTTCATTTTAGATGTCAAAAGGGTCTCTCTCTCCCTCCTTCTCTATCTGCCCTTGATCTGCCACTCCTCTTCCCCCACTCTCTCTCTCTCCCTCTCTCTCTCTTTCTCTCTCTCTCTTTCTCCCCCCCTCCTCTCTGCTGCTCACCTGGCAAGCTTCAAGCTGTTGTCCAACAACCTCCGGGGTAGGCAACCTCGTCTCTTTTATGACTCATGGACTTCAACTCCCAGAATTCCTGAGTCAGCCTAGCTGGGCTAGCTAGCTCTCTCCTGCCCTTCCTGCTTCCTTCAGAGACGCAGCAAAGGGAGGAGCTCCGCCCAGAAAACTTTTCAGCTCCTCGGAGAACACTGTGAGTGCACTCTCTTTTACACACACACACACAAAACACACACACACACACACAGAGAGAGAGAGAGAGAGAGAAGCAGGGAAGTGCAATTGTCTCTCTCTGTCTCTGTCTCTCTCTGCAAAGGCAGGAGGCTCCGGAGCCGCAGGTTGCCGACCTGTGGACTAGATGATCTCCAAGGTCCCTTCCAACTTTATTATTATTATTATAAGGTGTACATGTAAATTTTGATTTCTGGTGAAGTACCAGAAATTGTTTTGATACTATACACTTTGTGTCCTTAAAGTGCCTTAAAACTAAAGATGAACGTTTGTATAAGAGCATGTTCTATAGCAAAGCATGCAAGAAGGTTTCAGGCTCAGTTCTAGATTTCTCCAGATAGAAGGACTGAAAAAAAAAACCACAATTTGGAGAGAGCTAGCTGAGGAATTGTTGTACTTAATGTCTAGGTATATTAAACTTGCCAAGATTAAGGAATACTGGTCTATAGAGACAACCAACATAGAATTATTCTATAAAAAGAAGTTTGCAAATACTCTTAATGATTTAGATTATGTAAGTTTATTAGCCAAGAGTATTCCAATTATAGATGAAGAAAAAATACCAAGAACAAACAAGCATAAAGAATCCTGAAGACCATTTTTAATCCATCTGCTTAGAATGTACAGTAGGTAGTCCACAACTTAACAATTACAAGTGGGACCAGAGCTTTCTTTGTAAATGTTAAATTTTAAAAGACCTAATTTTATGGTCTTTTTGCCAGGATTGTGTGAATCACAGGGTCATTAAGCAAATCTGACTTCCCCTGAGGACTTTGTTTATTGGAAGAACAAGGTGGGAAAGTGGTAAATGGTGATCAGGTGACCTTAACACACTGCAACCATCATAAATGCATGCTAGTTGCCAAGCACTCAAATTTTGATTGTGACTATGGGAATTTTGTGACAATTTTAAGTGCAAGGGTTGACCATTAGTCACTTTTTTCCAGCACTGCCAAAACTTGGGAAGTTATTAAATGAATGATTGTAAGTTGAGGAGTACCCATAGGGGCAAAAATGGCCACAATTCAATGTTAGTATAACATTGAAGAGAAAAGGAACGATCATAGTTAAAATTAGGCAATCCTCCAATGGGCAAGTCAATATGAAGAATGTACTCATTTGTGAAAAGATCATAGTATAGTTAAGAGTATACATTACAAGGCCTGCAGTTGAAATTTGATTTAGGGGTTTTATACCACACAGCTGATAAAAACATTGAGGACAATCTCCAGATAATAAAAAAGCCATGTGTGGGAGATGACCAGGATGAACCTGAGGGAGGGGTCAAATGCATCAGTCGCGAGTCTCTTCGCACCCACAGGAGATCTAAGTGAAGCCCACCTTGAATTCCTTATGTACCCCAAATAGCCTTGATTGTTAGTAGTTCAGATTCTTGTAGAGAGCTTAAGCTTACAATAAATCTTCATACCAAGTTCAACTGCCTGGATCTCCTGATTTCCCTGGTGCTTGACAGAATGCAAAGAAGATGTTATAATGCGAGATTTCAATTACCTTTGCATAAACTGGGTATGTTCCTGTTCAAGACATGAAAAAGAAATTAAGTTTTTATATACCTTAAATGATTGTGCCTTAGTTGTTTCTTGGAAAATGAAGCAAACTACATTTAATTCTAATAGTGGCTAAGAGTTTCTGCAACAGTGAGTTGGGTGGCCTATAATGTAATAAATAATTTGTTGTGAGGTGTAACTGTTGGGGATCTGTTATTGTTTTTCATTCTCTTGTCAACTGCAGGTTGCTGCTGGATTCCATGATATGGGACAAATAGGAGGATGTGGTGGCCCAGTTCTGAAGCTGCTCTGGATTTGTCTAGCCAAAGTTGGTCAATGCAATTCTAGGCTGCATTAATAGAGGGATAGAATTAAGATCACCTCACTTTATAATCTCTTGGTAAGACCATATTTGGACTATTGCATCCAGTTTTGGTTGCCATGATATAAAAAAGAAATTGAGACTATAGAAAGAATGCAGAGAAGAGCAACAAAGATGATTAGGAGACTGGAGACTAAAACATACAAAGAATGGTTACAGGAATTGCGTATATCTAGTTTAATAAAAAGAAAGGCTGGGATGACATGATAGCAGTGTTCCAATATCTAAGGGACTGCCAGAAAGAAGAAAGAGTTAGCCTGTTCTCCAAAGCAAAGAACCAACCTAGAACTGAGAAATTTCCTAACAGAATAATTAATCAGTGGAATGACTTGCCTCCAGAAGTTGTGGTGCTTCAATACAGAAGGTTTTTAAAAAGAGATTGGACAACCATTTGTCTGAAATGGTATAGGGTTTCTTGCTTGAGTAGGATTGGACTAGAAGACCTCCAAAGTCCCTTCTAACTATTATTTTGTTAAATGAATGGCTACTATACTAGAGAGTTCTGGGTATAAGTGCCAAAATGTTACCCTCTGGATCAGGAAGTGGAAGCTGCCTGTTCATGTCCCCCCTCCCCCCAATAAAATTGCCAGTCCTCACTTTGACAGGTCTGACTCACTTGGCAGTCATCAGGACCCTTGCCAGTTTGTAGCCTGCTAGTTGTATCCATGGGGTTGGTCACTCAAATTCATTTATTTTAGGTCACAGAATCACATTTGAGAACTCTGTCCTAATATAGGCCTGTTAGCAAGATGGAATTGCTAAGCAATTCCTCTTAAAGCTATACACGGTCAAAAACAAAGTTCTGAATTGAGATGTAGACTTTTTTTTCTGTCAGTAAAAGCTAAGGAACTTGGCTTAGATCTGGGATCCTGAGTTTTACAGCCTGGATTGCTCAATATGAACAGACTTGGAATTATTGCAAATAAAACTATTAAAACAAAAGTCTGGAGCATGACCAAAGGATTTGAGTTGTAAATACTATTATATCTGCAATTAAAAATAGATAAAATAATGATTTATGTCTCTGTGACTTCAGTTTTGTCATTTCTGTAAAGGTGTGTTTTCGTAGCCAGAAAATTGTTAAGAAAGATATCATGCTTTCCTACTTCGTCATCAAAATGGCATAATTTCCTGATAGCTTTAAAATAAGTTTATTGTTTTGTGTGCTTCCATTACAGTGATGTACATCTGGAAGATTTGCCTCTTAGGAATAAATGATGCAAATTGCAGAGCATAAAATGAAATGGCAAAAGCAGAAATGCAGATAGCTGCTCATTGCTAATCTTATTAATTTGAAAAACAATTTTGTGAATCTATTTATATTTATATTACAAATGAAGCCCCTTTTCTAGATTTTTCAGCCTACTCAAAACACCTAATATTGCAAAGTATTATTAGTTGCAGAAAATCCAGTTACAAGAAAGGATTAAATAGCAAAAATAAACCGTTTAGAAAAAATTATGTTATATAAAATTTATTTATTCTGTGGAACTAATACTTCCCTAAATGAGTAAAAAACCTTCAAAAATAGATTATTTGAAAGAGTTAGGCATAGACTCTTGTTACTAACCAAGTCCTAATTTTAACCATCTTGAAAAGAAAGGATAATTATTGGATGCCAGTATGGATTTGTCAACAAGGAGTCTTACTAACTTTTAATTGAAGGTGATCATCAATAGTTCCTATCAAATTGGACGGAGATATCTTGTAGGGTGCCATAAGGTTGAATTCTGGGTTCTTATTTAAAAATAATAATGGCTTTGAGGCAGAGAGGGCAAATATATAAATGTCATAACATCAAATAGTATAACTAATCTTCTAGAAAACAGAAATAAAATTCAAAACCATCTTATGAATTAGAGAAAGAAGCAAAACAAAATAAATTTAATAAGGACAAATGAATTGTTTTTCACCCTAAAAAAGAGAAATCTAATGCACAGGGACAGAATTGGGAATCCTAGGTCTGACAATATGAACAAGATTTTTTGAGCATAAAATGAATGTAAATGATTAGTGTGATATGGCTGCAAAAACTTGAATTTTATGTTGCCCTTATAAAAGTATTCTTTCCAAATAGTTGGAAGTAATGGCAGTAATAGCTCCATTTTATTTTGCATTTATTAGAGCCTAGCTTGAGATATAGTGTTAAAATTTAAACCTTTAGCTTGAACAGAGAAAAGGATGATAAGAGGTTATAATTAAATATTAGTAGAGACACTGAAGGAACTGTGAAAGTTTACCTTTAACAAGAGAACATTAAAAGTAGGAGAGAAAATATAATAACAGCCAGGAGAGTTGTGATTGGTGCAACCAGGTGCTTGAAGCATCACTTCATATATGTTGCCAGGTGGTGCATTGGTTAAAGTGCAATACTGCAGGCAAACCTGCCCACAGCCTGCAGTTCAATCCTGACAGGGCTCAGGGTTGACTCAGTATTCATCCTTTTGAGGTTGGTAAAAGGAGGACCCAGATTGCTGGGGTCAACATGCAAATAATGCTTACATTGTAAACCACCCAATACTGCTGTAAAGTGCTATGGGTCAGTATATAAGCCTAAAATGCTTTTGCCTTCAAGCATGCAATAGGGGCACCAGCTTGATTTTTTTTGGTTCTTGTCAGTAGACACCTCCAATAGCAATATCCAAATATCTCCAAGGATAACTTTCAAAAGTCGAAAAGGGCATGACAAAAGAAGATCAAGACTGGTTCAGAATGCAGGAAATAGAATAACGGATTTATACATGAGAAAGAGACTAATACAATATTATTTCACTCGACTGCATATTTATAAAGGTATACATTCAGTGCTCGAAGGAAATAAATTAAGATTAAAACTGAATGTATATTATTGATAAAATATATAATAGTGTTATAATAATAAAAGCACTCGAATAGTTACTCCAGAACTATGATTGACTCCCACTCACTAGATCTGTTCAAGCAGAAGTTAGATAGCCATCTAGAATATTTCAATTTGGATCGACTGGGATGCTGGAATAAATGGCCTAAACGACTCTTTCCAATTCTAGCATATGCAGATTTTTATGTAAATAAACATGGAGGTGTCTGGAGCAACCATAGCAGTTTGATTAAATAATTTTCTTCTATTTATATAACTTATTGATTAAATATATTCCATCAAGTCAATGTTGACTCTTAGCGACCATACAGATATACTTGCTGCAGTATAACCTTAGTCTCATCCTTTAGGTCTCTCAAAGATAACCCATCGCCACTGTAATGAGTCCATCCATCTTGCTGCTGGTTATCCTTTTCCCTTCCCTTCTACTTTTCCTAGCATTATGGACTTCTCAAGAGAATAATGTATTTGTACTGAAGATAATATAAGCATGCATTGGTAAAGGAAGTTCCTAATAAGAACAAGGTGTACGTAATATGTATTAAAGATGCATAATTAGAAGCCTCTAGGCAAAAACTGGCTCCCATTTGGCAAAAGAGAAAGATAAAAGATTGTCATTGTTGGCAGTAAAGCTGCAGGCTCTTGAAGAGAGGTCTTTGCTGAGCACTTCCAATCCTTAAATAGGAAGCCCTTTGGTGAAACTGCTGATCAACAAAAGGGATTTTCATCAGGAAAGTCTTGGCATTTCATGGAAAATGATGCTTTTTCCATCCCTGTGGAGTTTGTAAGCCAAGTTCATTCATATACAGTTCCAATTGTCTGACCTACAGATATTGTATTTGTACAGCTTGCCAGAAAGGTGTGGGCAGCAGAGAAGTAATTCCCCTGCAACTTAGCATCAGGCTTTAAAGTCACATCTGCAACTCCTAAAAGGCAATTAATGTCCCCAAGTTTAAATCCGCCCCCCCAGTCCACCCCATTTCTATAATATTCAATGAGATTTACAAGTAATCAAAGGAATCTTTTTTTTCCCAGATTTGGAATTCCTAATGCACAGTACCATTATGGGGAACTAACCATCCAGTATATCTTATCCTATACAAGTAAATAAAATACAATGGAACTGAAATAAGTACTTGATTCTTGAGCTGAATCTTTCCACTGGGGAAAATGTCATCCTCAGTACCCATTTTATATTAGCATTAATGGACTGCTGCATAAGCTGAAACTCTACATTTGTTCTTTTCTTTTTCCAGTGATGGATAGATTGAAAATGCTTAGTTTTGAATGATGTTTTTCCTAAATAGCTCTTTAGAATGTGTGTTCCTCCATCCAATTCCCCTGATATTTGCTGTTAAAAGTGTAATCAACAAGAATTGTGGTTTCCAGTATAATTAAGATTCATTAGTAAAGATCTGGCGTAGTTCCCTGCAGCTTGATTCAGAGGGAGGCTATTGGCCCTGAAATGATACAGAGATCACTTTGGAAGATAAATCAAGACATCTGCCTGAATTTGAAACTTTATTATTGTATCTGCATGCTGTCTAATTAACTAACTAACACTAATGGAGTGTGAAAGGTGTATGAAAACATTGCAGGTGTACACATGAGATCCATTTTACAGCACTTAGTGATAGATGGGTGGGAGATTAAATAATCCTCATTGCTTCACAGATTGTCTAACTTTTTCTGTGGTTGAACTCACTTTCTCTGGTAAATTATTTAGAAGATAATCAAAATATATAGAACATACGTTACATGTGCAGGCTAAACTAGTGACCAATTCATTCCTGTTAGAAAATAATGATCAAATAATACATAATTAAAGCTCCTGAACACTCATTTGATCAGTCATGTTTATTCTTAGTAATGAAAGATGACCTTATTTTGCATGGGGATTTTTAAGACAATTGACTCAGTTGGTCCTGCTGTTGATTAACTTCTTAGCAGAATGTTTTCCCCTTTGAATTTAGTAGGTAAACATTACACAAAAGAGAAAACCAAGTCTTCGTATGTTAGAACACTAAATGGTAAGGTGGGCAAATAAAGCAAGCTGATCATTTCAACTAAATTGATTTAGCCTGAGTAATTTAGTACATAAATAATAAGCTAAGTTATCCTGAAATTCAGAATTGAAGATTGAAGAGTTTATCTCGGCCCAAGGTTTGTTTTGTTTTATTTTTGTAAGGAGGTGCTGTCTCTGTCATCTACATTTATCCTAACTCCTGTATTGTAAAAATTCTTTCAAAATTTTTGTACAGAATTATTTACAACTGCTATAATTTCTACATATCTCTATATTGGTACTCTATGAAGTGCTATCATCACTGACAGCGTCATGGTCAGTGTTTGTGTCTTTCTGTGTGCACACTTGGAAGAAACTTTTAAAAGCTATTGGAAACAATTATGAAAGAAAAATTTAAAAATTGAGACACTGATAGACTAGCAGTGTTGGATTTTATTTACAGCTTTGTCAATAAATTTGTTTTATCACAGCACAAATCTCAGTATTTTGTTTTTCTATGATCGCCAGACTTTAACTGATCATTTTGGTTGTTTTCTTTCTCTGCCTCATCATTTTTTAATTATGGAGAGCATGGCAGCCAAAGCAAAGAACATATAAAATGGGAAAGTGCGTATTTTTTTTATTTAAAAAATAATGCATCTAAGTTTAGTTTTCCTGCAAACATACACATAGTGCGGAAAACATAATCAAATACATGTTTTGGCTGACGCTTTTAACACTAATCATTGGCTAGCATTTTGTGAATTCTTATGAAGGGTGTTCATCTGAGGGAAAAGACTATTAAAATAAATAGAATCCACCAAGGCCGCAGACCAAAAGAGGTAGACATTAGCTTCCTAGCATCACTGATACATTGACCTGGACATGTGTAAAGAGAAAACCAAAGTTCTGCAAATTATGTATGTAGGTCTTCAAACTTGGCCCTTTTATGACTTGTGGACTTCAACTCCCAGAATTCCTCAGCCAGACCCATTTCTTGTTGCTTTGTTTATTGTAGCATCAATAAGGAAGGAAAGAAAAAATTGAAAGGGTCTGCATTAGTAACAAAGGAGATACTGTGGGCAAGATACATATGAAGGTGTCCATATATGGAAAATCTGTAAAGGCAAAGGAAGCATACAGTACAAGGACTAAAGAGGTAACAAATTCTGAAAAAAAATTCCAAAAGATCAGTGTATAGAGAGCTCAGCCACCCAAGCTTGCCTTCCATGGATGGAAGGGATGGTTAAGAAGCAAAGGAACAAACCAATCAGGAGTTTTAGTAGCCATAATCAAAAGGAGGAGGAAGAATCATAAACACTAGCTAGCCTTGTCGTTTCTAATCCATTGTGCAGGGGGCGCTAGGGGCAAAGTGAACAATTTTGAACCAGTTTTGACAGCTTTTTGTTGTGGATTTCGCCAAGACATCTTTCCTGCTGACAGCTATGGAATAGCTGCAGGGAATAAGACCTGCATACTTCTTTCTGGAAGACTTGGATATTCTCTTCAAGCTCTGTTTTTTTCCCCTCAAACTAATGCACCTTAGTTCCTTTTCTGTCTATAAAATAACTTTACTCTTATACTCAGCTTTTCTCCCATCTATCTATAACAGCATCCTGGCTCTATTTACACTATCCCCACTCTCACATTATAGAAAGATAGGGGACTGTGAGAGTGATGAGCTCAAGGGACTGATAACCTGGAGGCCAACTTCTCACATCACTTGATCATATCAACTGGGGTTCTTTGTTAGCTCCTACTCCTAACTACTACACTGGCTTAAGAGTATAGTAGTTAGGAGTACAGCTTTCTCAGTGACAGGCACATGATTATGTAATTCTCTTGTAGAAGGATTTTTGTACACTACTCTGGATTCCTTCAGGAGAAAAACTAGTACTATAGTAATAATTTAAACCTTTGATTTTAACTTAGAAATGCATCTTTTAAAAAAATACATAACGAACATGTCTGAAAACAATGTTCCGATCATAGGCTTCTATTCCTAGCTACAGTGGTAGCTCCATTAATAAACGTACATCATGATACAGTGATATAAATTCCCTTTTCTACTTAAGTTGTGACATTGAATACAAGCACATAAGGGGTGGAGTTTGTGTTACACATTTCATATCTTGAATCAAATCATTGGAAGGTTTCGTTTTAGAACTTTAATTTCCAAACTTAAAATGCTTGAAAATCTGGAGAAGATTTTTTTTTAAAAAAAGTGAAATATGGTTCAAGACTAAGGATACATTACAAAACTGCAGCATGTATGATATCTATGCTATTGGCTGAGGAATTTTGGGAACTGAAGTCCTCACATTTTAAAATGCCGAGATTGTGAAACTTTGCCCTGAATCAAAGCCTATGAAGGATGGAGAGTGTATTGTAACAACCCATGTAGAAGAGGCAAGCAAGAATTATTTATTATTCACTGGATTAAACTCAACACATAATTCTAAACTTAAGTAGACGTGATTCAAAGGCAGGTCTTTTCTTTCTGACTTTGATTCTTGTGCTTTCTTTTGTAAGAAACAAATATTTACTTCGGTTGGCATTACAGATGGGTAAGGAAACCAGCTATAATGCACCATCCATCAACTATTTTTAAGGGCTAAGGAAGAGTTTTCCAATTGGGAAAATGACCCGGAGATAAAATATTGAGTTCTGTTTCTCAGTGCATGATAATATTGCTAAATGCATTGTCAATAATTGTCTCCAGCAACAAAGAACATTTCTAATATCTTTCCCCTTTATGGATTACTGCCTTGTCGTGGCAAAGGGGCTTGTGTAACTCAATGAAGCTATAAGCTATGCCGTGCAGGGCCACCCAAGATGGACAGGTTATAGCAGAGAGTTCCAACAAAATGTGATCCACTGGAGAAGGAAATGGCAAACCACTCCAGTATCTTTGCCATGAAAACCCCATGGACAGTACTAAAAGGCAAAAAGATATGACGCTGGAAGATGAGCCCCTCAGGTCGGAAGGTGTCCAATATGCTACTGGGGAAGAGCAGAGGGCTAGTACTAGTAGCGCCAGAAAGAATGAAGCGACTGGGCCAAAGCCGAAAGGACGCTCAGCTGTGGATATATCTGGTGGTGAAAGGAAAGTCCGATGCTGTAAAGATTTTTTCTCCATAGGAACCTGGAATGTAAGATCCATGAATCAAGGCAAGCTAGACGTAGTCAAAAAAGAGATGACAAGACTGAACATCGACATCTTAGGAATCAGCGAACTAAAATGGACAGGAATGGGTGAATTTAACTCAGATGACCATCAGGTATACTACCGTGGGCAAGAATCCCTCAGAAGAAATGGAGTAGCCTTCATAGTCAATAAAAGAATAGGAAAAGAAATACTGGGGTACAATCCCCAAAATGACAGAATGATCTCAATTCGAATCCAAGGCAAACCATTCAATATCACAATAGTCCAAATCTATGCCCCAACCACTGGTGCTGAAGAGGATGAAATTGACCAGTTTTATGAAGCCCTACAGCACCTTACAGAATTAACACCAAAAAATGATGTCCTTATCATCATGGGGGATTGGAATGCTAAGGTAGGAAGCCAAAAGATAACCGGAATAACAGGCTAGTTTGGCCTTGGAATACAAAATGAAGCAGGGCACAGGCTAATAGAATTTTGTCAAGAGAATATGATGGTCATAACAAACAGTCTTTTCCAACAACCCAAGAGACGGCTCTACACATGGACATCACCAGACGGTCAACATAGAAATCAGATTGACTATGTGCTCTGCAGCCAAAGATGGAGAAGCTGTATACAGTCAGTAAAAACAAGACCAGGAGCTGACTGTGGCTCAGATCATGAGCTTCTCGTTGCAAAATTTAGGCTTAAATTGAAAAAAGTAGGGAAAAGCACTAGGCCACTCAGGTATGAACTAAATCATATTCCTGATGAATATACAGTAGAGGTGACAAATAGATTTAAGGAATTAGATCTGATAGACAGAGTGCCTGAAGAACTATGGATGGAAGTTCGCAACATTGTACAAGAGGTAGCAACTAAAACCATCCCAAAGAAAAAGAAATGCAAGAAAGCAAAATGGCTGTCTGAGGAAGCTTTGCAAATAGCTGAGGAAAGAAGGGAAGCGAAAGGCAAAGGAGAAAGAGAAAGATACACCCAATTGAATGCAGAATTCCAGAGAGTAGCTAGAAGAGATAAGAATGCCTTCTTAAATGAACAGTGCAAAGAAATAGAAGAAAACAACAGAATAGGGAGGACCAGAGATCTCTTCAAGAAAATTGGAGATATGAAGGGAACGTTTCATGCAAAGATGGGCATGATAAAGGACCAAAATGGCAGAGACCTAACAGAGGCAGAAGAGATTAAGAAGAGATGGCAAAACTACACAGAAGAACTATACAAGAATGAGCTTAACGTCCCAGATAACCACAATGAGATGGTCACTGACCTCGAACCAGACATCCTAGAATGTGAAGTGAAATGGGCCTTAGAAAATCTGAGCAACAACAAAGCTAGTGGAGGTGACAGTATTCCAGCTGAGCTATTCAAAATCTTAAAAGACGATGCAGTAAAAGTGCTACACTCAATTTGCCAGCAAATTTGGAAAACTCAACAGTGGCCACAGGATTGGAAAAGGTCAGTTTATATTCCAATTCCAAAGAAAGGCAATGCCAAAGAATGTTCAAACTATCGCACCATTGCACTCATTTCACATGCTAGTAAAGTTATGCTTAAAATCCTACAAGCTAGACTCCAGCAGTATGTAGATCGAGAACTACCAGAAGTACAGGCAGGATTTCGAAGAGGCAGAGGAACTAGAGATCAAATTGCCAACATACGCTGGATCATGGAGAAAGCTAGGGAGTTCCAGAAAAACATCTACTTCTGCTTCATTGACTATGCAAAAGCCTTTGATTGTGTGGATCACAACAAATTGTGGCAAGTTCTTAAAGAGATGGGAGTACCAGACCATCTCATTTGTCTCTTGAGAAACCTATATGCGGGTCAAGAAGCAACAGTGAGAACTGGACACGGAACCACTGATTGGTTCAAAATTGGAAAAGGAGTCCGGCAAGGCTGTATACTGTCGCCCTGCCTATTTAACTTATATGCAGAGCACATCATGAGAAAGGCAGGGCTAGATGAATCAAAAGTTGGAATTAAGATTGCCGGGAGAAATATCAACAACCTAAGATATGCAGATGATACCACTCTAATGGCAGAAAGTGAAGAGGAACTAAAGAGCCTCTTGATGCGGGTGAAGAAGGAGAGTGCAAAAGTAAGCTTGAAACTCAACATTAAGAAAACCAAAATCATGGCATCCGGCCCTCTCAATTCCTGGCAAATAGATGGGGAAGAAATGGAGGCAGTGACAGATTTTATTTTTCTGGGCTCCAAGATCACCTCAGATGGGGACTGCAGCCAAGAAATTAAAAGACGCTTGCTCCTGGGGAGGAAAG